CCCACCAAGGGAGTCACCCTGTAGACCACAAAGGAGTAACAGGTTCGAGCATTCTCCAGTAGGCTAAGACCACATGGAAATACATAGATTTTATAGAAATGTGTTAATAATTAAGACAGAGCTAGCAATAAGAAGTCCTAGACATCAGCCAACAGTTTAATAATGAATATAAGTCTCTGTGTGGTCATTTGGGGCTGGAAGCAGCAGCAGGACCTGTCAGGGAAGAAGAACCATCAGCAATAGTATAGCAGACTCCAGGAGCCAGAGAGACACTTAATGAGTAGGGTAGGAGAGGCGAATGGTTAGAGCAGGTGGTAGAAAGAAGCAGCTAAGAGGCAGACTCTAGAATTTGAAGTCAAGTATGTTGAGTGGAAGAAACCAGCAGAAGCAAATGATCCATGCATACCTCAGGACAGTTGAGTCAGCAGCTTGGCTCAGTTAGGAGAAGCTGAGTTCCTTGAAAGGAAGCTCATATACGCCCCTCGTGGTTTTCAAGCACCCGACAGTGAATTGAAGACATAGCCCCTCCAAGGTTGAGGAGAAGGTTTTTATTGTAGATATGAGAGAGAGTACAGCCAGAGACACCAGAAAGATTCCAAAGCAGGGAAAGAAAGTAGTAGAGTAAACATAATCAGTGAGACCAGGCCATGAGGGTGGGGGTGGGGGAAGCAAGAGAGGAAGAGAGAGAGAAGAGTGGAGACTAGCAGACACTTTGGATTGGTAATAGGCACTGCCAGCTACACAGTTAGCCATTTTCACTGAGAAAGCCTTGGATCAGTCTAGCTATCAACAGCTCTCTCCTTATTTTTCAAACTTGTGCCTCAATGTCTAAGAGAATTTTACTTTTCCTAAACCAACAGATGTCTCAGACACCAACATGGCCCCAGGTGGTGGCCCAGACCCCAGGCACTGGCGCAGTCTTCATCAACACAGACCCTGGCTGTGGCAGGACCGTGGACCCAGACATGGCTCTTGGCAACAGTCCTTGTGGCAGCAGCTGACAACACTGGCCACTCTTAAGTGGCCTGGCCCCTGCAGCAGCAAGGTCCTCAGACACACCAACACGGTCACAGGTTGTAGCCCAGACCCTGGGCATCCACATGGCCCCTGGCCACAGCATGAGCCAGGGACATAAACATAGACCCTGATTTACCGCAGGACCACAGACCCAGACACGGCCTTTGGCGGCAGCCTGGGTCCAGGATGTCACCATGACCACTGCATGGCAGTGTGGCCTGCAGTTACCAACCTGGCCCCAGGCGGAAAGCCAGACCACAGTCCCTTGCAAGGCACCCAGTGGTGACAAGAGCCACAAACACCAATACAGGCCCCCCTTCTGCTTCAGGGCCCCTGACCAAGACCTGGCCCTTGGTCATAGCCCAGGCCCAGACATTACTCTGAATTGGGGTGGCCAGCTGGCCATTCACGTCAGCCTGTTCCTCACCACCGTCACCTCTCCAGCCCACTTCCTCGCCATCCCATGAACCATTCTGCCTCTCCCTCTCTTCCACCTACCCACCCTGTATTCTCTCACCAAAATGGTGCCCAATCATCCGACCCCAAGTCTCTAGGTTGGACCACAGGTGGCACTTGTTTGAGTCCTCTGCACCCCAGTCCTAAAGAATAGCAAGGAGCTGTTGCCTTTCCTCCCTCCCGTGACTGGGCCCAGAGACCTCAAGCAGCATTTGGTATGATGGCACCCAGCTTGGTATGATGGTACCTGGTTGATTTGTGACCCCCCCACACACACACCGATTCAGTTCCAGAAGGGGCTGAATGGCCCACATTTTAATTTTTTAATAACCTGTAAAACAAATTTCTATCCTCATAAAACTACTTTTTAATATCGAGATTCTTGCAGTCATGAGGATGAATAAATACCCTTTTTTACTTTTACATAAAACTGACTAGGAAGGACTGTTTGGAGCAATGATCTTTTCAGGCAATGGCAGGTCATTGAGGGACTGTTGTACCTAGGAGCTGGAGCACTCTGCTGTCCTCTGAGCTGGGACTCTGAATTCTGGCTGTGTCCCCCATCTCCATTCCTACCCCTCCACTGTAAAATCCCCTGCTGTAGTTGGGGGAGGGGATCTAGAAAACAAAAACAAAAACAAAAACAAAAAAACCCAAGTAGGCTTTTTTGTCCAAAATGCTTTGTCAGGGATTCCATGCTCCTAGGGCTTCTGCAAATAAGGGGTGGAAGTCTCTATTGTGGGATCTAATAATCCTGTCTATAACATGGCCGGTTAGCTCAGTTGGCTAGAGCATGGTGATGATAATCCTGTCTATGTAAAAGAGGGGGGGGATAGACTCTGCTTAATGTGTTAGAGTTACTTGTAGGTGATTTTAAAACTGCATGATCAAAAACAAAACAGACACCATAAAACCCAAGCCAAAACAAACAAAAATCACTTTCTCCTCATCTTCCAAGGCATCAGGAAGCCAAATCAATTTAAGTACTGGTGTCACAGGCTGGGCAGTGGTGGCACATGCCTTTAATCTCAGCACTTGGGAGGCAGAGGCAGGTGGATCTCTGTGAGTTTGAGGCCAGCCTGGTCTACAGAGCACATTCCAGGACAAGCTCCAAAGCAATACAGAGAAACCCTGTCTTGAAAAAGCAAATCAAACAAACAAACAAACAAACAAAAAGCAAAACAAAACAAAAAACCAAGAACTAGCATCACTTTGTCCTTAGATCCTTTTATCTTCATTTTTTTTTTGTCTGTTCATGTCTATCTTTTGTCCCTTAGTCTGTTTTGGAGTGTGATCTATGACCAGATTTACTGGGATGGTGAATTAAAATTGAATCAGCCTTACACTATGAATCTAAGCAAGTTCTAATAAAATTTTACCATACAAATCCATCAATATGAAACTCATATGGCTCCTCTGGGCAATATTTTGTCTTTAAACTTTTGCCTACGTGTTTCCCAAGGGCAAGATTTTTTTAAATGAAACTAAAGTATTTTTTATAAACACTTTAGCATATTATAGGAACTAGAATGCAAAAGCAAATAAAGCATTTAAAGGAGAAAATGTACCTGTCTTAGTTAGAGTTTCAATTGTTGTGAAGAGACACTATGACCGAGGCAACTCTTATAAAGGAAAATATTGGGTGACCTACAATTTCAGGGGTTCAGTGTATTATAATCATGACAGGACATGGCAGTACATAGACAGGCATGATGTTGGAGAAGGACCTGAGAGTTCTCCATCTTAATCTGCTGGCAACAGGAAGTGAACTGTGACACTTGACAAAGCTTAAACACAGGAGACCTCAAAGCCCACCCCCACAGTGACACTCTTCCTCCAACAAGACCACACCTACACCATCAAGGCCACACCTACTCCAACAGGGCCACACCTACTCCAACAAGGTCACACCTACTCCAACAAGGTCACACCTACTCCAACAAGGCCACACCTACTCCAACAAGGTCACACCTACTCCAACAAGGCCACACCTACTCCAACATCTCTTAATAGCGCCACTCCCTTTGAGAGCCATTTTCTTTCAAAGACTGTCTTAAGAATTTTGCTATGCCTGGAAGCAACCTAGAGGTCCCTCAACTGAAGAGTGGATAGAGAAGATGTGGTACATTTACACAATGGAGTACTATTCAGCAGAACAAAACAATGGAATCTTGAAATTTGCAGGCAAATGGATGGCACTAGAAGAAACCATCCTGAGTGAGGTAACCCAGTCACAAAAAGAGAAACATGGTATGTACTCACTCATATATGAATTTTAGCCAGCATACAATCTCACTGCCAGAGTGTCTGGAAAACAGAACCTTCATCTAGCGACTGATAGAAGCAGAGGCAGATACCCACAGACAAACACTAAACTGGACTCCTGGAATCTAGTGTCAGAAAGGGAGAACTGATGGGCAAAGGAGTTAAGACTGGGCTGGTTTAACCCACAGAAACAGTTGACCTGAACAAGGGTGAGCTCTTGAACTCCAGATTGATGGCTGTGTGGAAAGCATGGAACTGACCCAGACCTCCTGAATGTGCGTGTCAGTGAGGAGGCCTAGGTTATCTATGAGGCCTTGGGTAGTATTTATCCCTGGTGTACAAATAGACTTTGAGTGCCCACGCCACAATATGGGCGGCTCTCTCAGCCGGGACTCTTGGGGGAGGGTCTAGGCCCTGCCCTGGATGAAATGACTGTCACTGGAGATCCACCATGGAGGGCCTCACCCTCCCTGGAGATCGGAGTGGAGATTTGGTGGGGGACTGGGGGACCTGGAAGGGAGGGCAGGGGAGGAGGGGAGGGAGAGGGAGCTGGGATTGACATGTGAAACAAGCTTGTTTCTAACTTAAATAAAAATAAATTAAAAAAAAAGAATTTTGTTATCCAATGTTTTATTCCCGATGTTTCATTCGGATGACCTCCCTGGCCTGACTTTTTAAAAAGTTATCTATGTATTATGGCCATACTTACTCTTTTTCTCATGTTCAGGTATCCCTGTTTAGTTACTATTTGACCTGAACCAGCAGGTCATTCTTTGGTGACAGGGACCTGAGAGAGCAGACCAGGAGATCAGAAGATAAAGAGAATAGAAGATTAAGTTTGGGACCAGAAGGTATTTTTGTCTATGTCCTATGTCAAGCAAGCCTCTTATGAAGTGCGCTATTTTACATACTATTTCCAGGGAAGAAATGGGACAGGGACAGCAGAAACAATCACATGATGGACTAAGTCAGAGGGGAGCTAATCAAACAATGTTACACAAAGGAACAGGGTATCTCAAGATCATTATAGACCAGAACACGGCAACCTTGGGACTGATAAGTCCTGTCTCTTCAGGGGAAAAAGCCAAGTCCCTGGAACAAAAACATCAACACTTTTAAGGCTCCAACCTCAGCCCCAGACTGGCATTGCCAAGTCTCCTGACGAAGACACAGAACTAGGCTCCTTTTGTCTTTTATCAGGACCTCTGAGAAAGTCTGAGAGCAGCCCAGCTCTCAGTGGGGCGGAGTTGGGACAGGGTGGGGACAGAGCCTCTGTGGTCAGTGACAATTTCAGGCTACAATTTAGTCTGCCCTCTGTCCTCTCCTGAGCCAGGTGGACTGCCACTGTGACACTCAGTCGCGTTACAGAGTAAGTACACCTGCTGCTATGGGACCTGGTGGGCTTGAGGATGTGGGTGGATGGGGCACAGACCCTAGGCATGCCTGTCCAAGCTACAGCCAACGACTCCCAAGAATGAGGCTCAACACATAATCCTAAACTTACTTAAAACATTATGAGAAAAAAATTGGTGACTTTTTTGTAACTCCATTGTATATTGTTCTACAAGTCTGTCTTAAGCCGTTGTCTGCTTCACCAATCTTTCTACAGCACTGGGTACCGCTGCTTCTCTCTGCAGCCCCATAGCCTCCTCCTCCTCCTCATCTCTTGGTGGATAAGGTGGGACTTTCTTTGAGGATGTCATCCCCCTCATTGTGTCTCTCACTTTGCCCCCCTCCCCGACTTTTCCCTCTCTGAGAACATTTTCCCACTCTCCATTCAGAACCGCTGCCGCGATGAGGCTCTTCTCCATTCTGTGCTTGCTGCTCCTCAGCCTCGGGGTGGCCTCTCGCCCCCGCTCCCGCTCCCGCTCCTGGGAGAAGAAGGTGAAGGAGTCCTCTGTGGGTGCTGGGGTAACTCCCAGAAGCGAGGACTTTGCCTTCAACCTCTACAGGGCCTTGGCTTCTGAAGCCCCTGGTCAGAATGTCGTCTTCTCCCCCTTGAGTGTGACCATGAGCTTGGGCATGCTCTCTCTGGGGACTGGCTCCCACACTAAGACACAGATCCTGGAGGGCCTGGGACTCAGTCTCCAGCAAGGCCAAGAGGACAAGTTCCACAAGGGCTTCCAGCAGCTGCTGGAGAGGTTCAGCCAACTTAGAGATGACCTCCAGTTGAGCCTGGGCAGTGCCCTTTTTGCAGACCCAGCAGTACATATTTGGGACAGCTTCCTGAGTGCCATGAAGACGCTGTACATGGCAGACACTTTCTCTACCAGCTTTGGGAACCCTGAAATGGCTAAGAAGAAGATCAATGACTATGTGGCCAAGCAGACCAAGGGCAAAATTGTAGACTTGATCAAGGATTTGGACAGCACCCACATCATGGTGTTGGTAAATTACATCTTCTTCAGAGGTAAGCGTTAGGCTCAAACTTGAGCTTCCTCTCTTTTCTGTTTTTATTGCAAGATAGCATTCCTCTCTCACAAAAGAACAACTCGTCCAGGTGCCAGCTGGATGGAGAAAGCAGTCACGTGTGAGACAGAGCCTCCCTACAAGACTCTCAGAGATTCACCAGGCAGCAGCTGGCCCCTGTCATAGCTATCATAACAAAACAGTACTGATACCAAATCCACTAGGACCAGGAATACGGACCTGGTTGGGTTCAAAATGGCAGGGGACAGGCATCAAGGGCTTCTGAAGGTGAATGTGTTAGTTACTTTTCTATTGCCATGATGAGACACCATTACCAAGGCAGCTTATAAAAGAAAGCACTTGCTGGGCATTGGTGGTGCATGCCTTTAATCCCAGCACTTGGGAGGCAGAGGCAGGCAGATCTCTCTGTGAGTTGGAGGCCAGCCTGGGCTACAGAGCGAGTGCCAGGACAGCCTCCAAAACTTCACAGAGAAACCCTGTCTCAAAAAGAGCACTTAATTGGGTCTTGCTTACAGTTTCAGGGGTGTGTCTGTGACCATTATGACAAGGAACACAGTAACAGGCTGACAGGCTTGATGCTAGAGTGGTAGCCGGGAGCTTTACGTGTCACTCACAAGCACTCAGCAGAAAGATAGAAAGCCTTGACACTTTACGTGTCACTCACAAGCACTCAGCAGAAAGATAGAAAGCCTTGACACTTTACGTGTCACTCACAAGCACTCAGCAGAAAGATAGAAAGCCTTGACACTTTACGTGTCACTCACAAGCACTCAGCAGAAAGATAGAAAGCCTTGACACTTTACGTGTCACTCACAAGCACTCAGCAGAAAGATAGAAAGCCTGGGCCTGGTGCGGGCTTTTGACACTTCAAAGCCCACCCTCAATCTCATACTTCCCTCAATAAGGCTGCATCTCCTAATCTTTCCCTAAACAGAGGACCAAGCATTCAAACATAGGAGCCCGTGGGGGGGCATTCTCCTTCAACTCACATGTCAAGAGTTTAGGAATATGGGAAAACAGGCATGTATAAGGTCCGGGCTGCCCCAGAGTCATGAAGGGATTTGACCTTCAAGGTCAAGAGGTGTGGTTGCTCCTGCTGCTGAGGTGGCTCTGTAGAGACACTTTCTGGACTGTATCCACTCTTCAGGCACAGCCAAGGATCTCTCATTCTTACCCAGTGCTTTCTCCTACCCCGTCTTCACCTTTAGCCAAGTGGGAGACAGCCTTCAGTGCCAAAAACACCCAACAGAAAGATTTCTACATCACTCCCAAGAAGACCATACAGGTGCCCATGATGAACCGTGAAGATGAGTACTACTACATCTTGGACCAAAGTATTTCCTGCACAGTGGTAAGGGTCCCTTACCAAGGCAACGCCACTGCTCTGTTCATTCTCCCCAGCGAAGGCAGGATGCAGCAGGTGGAGAGTGGCCTGAACGGGAGAGTACTGAAGAACTGGCTGAACACAGGCACAAAGAGGTATTTTCTAAGTCATTCTGGGGCCACACCCCTCTACCTATCTTGGGGTTACACATGATCCAGGAACACAGTGTTGGTGGGAAAGACTCCTCAGACAGCGAGCTGTCTCCAAACCCAACGACTTCCTGTGATATCCTCAGCCCAGGACTTGGTCCAGCATGAGAGATAAGACCAGAAAAGAGGGATTCTGGGGTGAGACCAGAGTGGGCAGCCCAAGTCTAAGTACAAAGCAGGGGACACTCCAGCAGAGATGAAGGTTCCATAAGGTCTGTGAAGCCACAGAGAGAGGTGTAAGGACGTCTCAGCATCTCATGCTATCTAAGAATGGCTTTTACTCTCTCCAGTCGGTTCAGACTTTACCTCCCCAAGTTCTCCATTGAGGGTACCTACCAACTAGAGAAAATCCTCCCCAAACTGGGCATCAGGGACGCCTTCACCTCCCATGCTGACCTATCTGGCATTACTAACCACGCCAATATCAAGTTGTCTGAGGTGAGTCTAGGTGCTCCTGAGCACCTGCTTTCATAAATTACCATGCCATATCACCCTATTCCATCCCACCCCACCCCATCCCACTCCACCACACCCCACCACACCCCATCCCACCACACCCCATCCCACCACACCCCATCCCACCCCACCACACCCCATCCCACCCCACCCCATTCCACCACACCACACCCCACCACACCCCACTCCACCACACCCCACCCCATCCCACCACACCCCACCCCATCCCACCCCATCCCATCCCACCACACCCCACCCCATCCCACCCCATCCCGCCCCACCACACCCCATCCCACCACACCCCACCCCACCACACCCCATCCCACCCCATCCCACCCCAGCACACTCCCCATCCTATCTCACCCACCGCATCCCATCACACCCTATCCCATTTCATCTAATTAGGTCCTATCTTGATCTATCCCATTCTGTCTCTTCTGATCCTGTTCGTTCCTTTCTATCCCATTATGATTCCTTTCCCCCTAGAAATTCAAAGACTTTCCTTTGTGTCTTGTTCTTCTTACATTGGGAACCTATATTTGCCACCTGACCTTGGAGGAATCTGTGCCTGTCTGAGTGCTGTGTTGTCCATCTCCCTCCCGCGCCCCCCCTCGTGTGTGTCTGTGTGTCAGTGTGTGTTTCTGTGTGTCTGTGTGTCTGTGTGTGTCCCTGACAAAGAGTTTGGCTCTGTCCTTATTGAACAGCACAGAAAGTGTCACCTGGAGAAGAAAGAATGGTACACTTTGTAGAAATCTTTAACAGAATTTTATAAGGGATTAAGTCACTGCCTCCAACGGCCACAGACATCAAACAGTACTACAAACATCATTGTTTATAAACTGATATCCACAAGTGAATCCACTTTTAGAAGATTACTTTCAACTCCTGTGTCTGCTGTTTTCAGCAAATGACACACATGCATTGTACTAGACCAGGGACGTGGAAGAGTGCATAACTTAAGACTACAGGGGGACTCCAGGGCAAGTAAGGTTGATTATTTGCATTGTTGTCTTAAAAGCAGGTTAAACCAACAGGCAGAGTCGCAGAGTCCATAGTAGGACAACAGCCTTATGTCACCTCTGTGTATATTATTAACCCCGGCTGTGAAGTCCAACAAAAGTTTCAGTTCATTTGAAATATAAGTAACATTTTTGTCACGATGCATCACCACAACCCAGCCCCACTGTCTGCTGGCAGATGGTACATACATCCTTGGTGGAGGTAGACGAGTCAGGAACCAGAGCAGCTGCTGCCACAGGAGAGCTCTTCACATTCAGATCTGCTCAACCAATGACTGTGGAGATAAAGTTCGACAGACCCTTTCTGTTTGCCATCGTGGAAGGCTTGAATCTGTTGTTCCTCGGCAAAGTGACCTATCCCTGAGGTGGGACTCTTTCCAAAACCCACTGGCCTACCCACAAGGTGTTCTAAATAATATTGATATACTAAGGGTGGCTTCCTTGATCACAGTTGCAAGGTACGTGTTCTTGCCCTCATCTTTCATCCATGATTGGCACTGAGCCCAAAGAGGCCAGCTGATTTCTTCAAGCTCCCACCACATTTGTGTCATAGTCACGTCTAGACCCCAGGCTGTTTGTGCTCAGTCTAGCACTACAATCCTTGTAAGAGACTGTCCACTATAGGTAAAGTCACCAGGAAGCACATTTTTAAGTGTGGCATTCCACCTATCAGCAGCAACTATCAGTTCATCGTGGTTTAGGAAGGACACTGGACTAAGGCTCTGGGACGGCACTAAAAGCTATGTAACATGGGAATGGAATGACCACGCTCCTCTCTGGACCTTTGTTTTTCTGTGTATACAATGAAGGATTAGAGCAAGAAGTCCATCCACTGGTATGTGAAATCATTGCACCGGTTGACTGCTCTGTGCCAGTCATGGTTGATATAAGATCTTATTTCAGTAGTACATTTGAGTATCCGGGTAGAAGTGTCTCACCACGAACAAAGGGCTCAATTCTCAAACCTGACTGGGGCGGAACAAAAGAGGCCTGTTGCAAACAGTAGAACACGGATTGTAGATTGACTTGTTGATTTTCACCTTGACAATAGCAATAAAGCATTTCGCAAAGACTGGATCTCATTGTCCTTGTGGAGACAGCCCTGGGATAGTGACACTCACTGTGTTCCAAAGTTGGTGCTCTCCCTCATGAGGAAAGATGTCACCACCATCCCCCTTTGACTGACAGAAAACGGGAAGGTTTGCTGGAGTTTAGGTGGCTTACCCAGTCACATAGATTGCACATGTAAGAGCTAAGAATAATGGTAAATTGGTTATTTTCTCATCACTGCAGCAAACACCTGATAAGAAGCAACTTAAAAGTTTCTTTTGGCTCATGGTTTGAGGAGATAGTTCGTCACGGCGAGAAAAGCATAGTGGCAGGGGAGGCTTTCAGCTGTGGCAGCAGAAGTTTAAGGCTGCTTGCTCACATCTGCGTGTATCAGGAAGCAGGTGTGGGCAGAAAGGAAGGCTGGGCTATAGGCCTCATCCCTCAGCTACCCACTTGCTTCATCTACGGGCCATCTCCCAGTGTTTCCCGCAACTCCAGAAACAGCGTCACCAGCTGGGGACCAAGTGTTAAGATACATGAAGGGAACATTTTACATCTGAAACATAACAGATAAGGAGTATGACCCCACAGCTACCCTCAGTCTTGGCTTCTGCAGGTGTGTCTGAGTCTCAGCACCCTGGACTAACTCGGGTGAGTTCCCTGTTGTCCTCTATCAAAGAGGGAATTTGGCACATCAAAGAGCAGATGAGTGAATGAGTGAGCAACTCCTCCACCAAACCTAAAACTGTCCCCCGGTTAGCTACACCAGAGCACTTTACCCTCCCCAATATGTATATCACTATCATGGCTCCCATGAGGCTGTGCTTAGTGCTCCGATCCCTGGATCATATTGAAGAAGGGTGGCCGGTAGGAATAACAAGGTGTGTGTTAGCCAGGATTCCCCAAAGGAACAGAGCTGATAGTGTGTGTGTGCCCGGGTGTGTGCATGTGTGTGTGTGTGTGTAATTTATTATATATTCACAGGATGCACTTCTGGTAGTCCAATAATGGCTGTCTCACACTGGAAAGGCTGAGGATCTGGCGGTCCAGGACAAGGCAGCAGTTCCAATCTAGCACTGGAGGCCTGGAGGAGTCCTGGAGAGTGGCTGAGTCTGCATTGGAATCCTGAAGAAGCCGGTTGTGACATGGGTGAAGGAATGTCATAGCTACAGGCAGGACAGACACACTTGCCAATGAGAGCGAGGGAAAGCCGGCAGAAAGCCAAGTCTCCTTCTGCCATGCCCTTCTATCTGGGCTGCCGCTAGAAGGCATGGCCTAGAGTTACCGTGGGGCTTCTTGCTTCTGATAGTCTCACCGAGCCCAGCGGCTTGGGTTTCAGTTGATTGATTCCAGATGCAGTCAAGTTGACAACCAAGGTTATCTATCACACAAGGTCAACACCTTTTAAAAAAAGGTTTATTTCGTTTTTATTTGTCTGAGTAAACGTGCGTGTGTGAGTGTGCACGGGTGTGCACTGGTACACAGGTACCTTCAGAGGCCAGAAACGGGCATCAGATTCCTGGGAGTTGGAGTTTCAGAAAGGTGTAAACCTCCCTCCCATTGCGGTTTCTAGGAATGAACCTTTAGGTTTTGACTGGCCCCTGGAGTACTAAGAACTCTGTGCCAGTCTGCCCCGGGCACTCTTCATTTGCAATCACATTCATTCATCACTACCTAGCAAGGTCTGTCACTGCCACAGTGACAGTGAAGGCCTGGACCCTCGTGCCCGGCACATACGTGCTGGCTTGCAGCAGTGTACATGGCTGGGACCGGATCCAGAGATCTTGTCAGCGATTATGCTGAATGATCGGAGTCCACAAACAGGGCCTATCGTGGGGTCGTCCCACCCCCTCATATCTTCTCCTTGCATAACGTCTGGTAATTCTTGCCAAATTGTGTCTCTCCCTGTTTGCCCAATCTGTTGGAGGTCAGAGAGGAGTCCTGTCTAAGGGTCATGTGTGAGACCAAGGTCCGTGCTTCCGAGAGTTTACTCAACAAGCAGATACAAAGCAAACACTGCGTGGGCCGAGTGTCAGGGGAAGGAGAAGCAGTTCATGGGACCTCTATTGCATATCACACATCAGCGTTGTCTTAGGCTTACTGGAAGATACGGGCCTCAGTTGCCATGTGGTCCTGGGATGCACAGAATGGCAGTTCAGAGATATGAACTGAAGGGTTTGCAAAAAAACAAAACAAAACAAAAAACCAATGACACAGAGCTGGCCCTGAAGAAGGAGTGGAACTTTGGTAGGCAGGAAATTTGGGGCAGGTAGGGGACTTCCGGACAGAATGAGCAGCTGGAGAGGTGAGCAGGGGACAGACAAGGTGAGGTGACAGGGAGAGTACGGAGACCGGCCGCAACCCACGCGGGGACATGAAGGGAAACGCTGGGAAAGGAAGCGGCTGTCCTGGCTGTCCAGAGACAAGAGCCTTGGACACGGGACTTGAATTTTCTTTCTAATGTCTCTCATAACTGACGCTATAGTGTGAAAACCATTCACTCCTTACCCTGAATGTCCCTGGACCTCTTCCTATCCTTCATTCCCAGGCTGCACATCAACCGAGACCTCCCCTTGGCCCTCTAGGAGCACACTTTTTTCTCTAAGGCTCTGCCAGAGCCTCACCCAATGGGGAAGGGCTGTTGTGTGGAGCTTCTGCACACACAGCAGCTGCTCCCCAAGACACCCACTTGTTCTTAGCCTCCTGTGGTAGCCATAACACCTACACGTGCACCCACGGACACTGCACATGTATACTCTCCCATGCCTTCATATACACAAACCTCAGTCAATAAATAAATACGTCTTACTGGCTCAAGCCTAGGAATCAGGATGTTAATGGTAAGGCCCTAAACTCTCCCTTGAGATTTGGACGTACATATGGTGCTCCCCCTACTTAATAGGCCGGGCTACACAGCGTGGATGAGGCTGTGAGGAGAGGTTAGGCCCATGCAGCAGATCAGCAGCCCCTTCTTAGAGTTTTCTCAGGGAGTGGAGTGGCAAGGAGATTGGAAAGGTTTCTTTTTGTCATTGCTAGGGCAACCAAAGAGTAGTGAGTTAAAATAATATTGTTGGGGATAGATATACATCTCTTTTGGAAAGCCATTATTGGGGGGGGCATTGATAGGGTAGGGAAAGCCAGAATGTATAGAAATAAATTATTCTAGTTCTGGAAACTAAATGATTTGAAGTTCTAGAATTGTCACAGTTCAGCTAAAATGGAGGTGCTTTAGAATGGTGTGGCACAGGCTAACAGAGGTTGGGGGGGGCAGATATTTGGAGATGGAGGTTGGGAACCAGGAGGAGGATGGTGAGGGCGTCTGATTAGCACGTACCCAGCACACAGGGTCGCTAAGGAAAGGTGCACAGAAAGCCCCTCTATCAAAAGCTCTGAGCAAAACTCTAGTCACGAGAGGCCTCTGAGGCACACAGGAGCTGCAAGACCCAGGCAATAAGTGTGCTGTAATGGCTATCACAGAAATGGCAGCAGGCCAGGCCTTCACCCCTGAAGTCAGAGGCCTGTGGTGTCCTCCAAGGAGCATGCTTGACTCACAACCAATCCCAGCAGACACAGCAGGTGATCCCACCTTGGGCTGCCACAGAGCAGGGCTATAGCCTCTGGGCTGGAGTCAGGTTACCTCAGCAGTGGGCTCCTCTGCCCTGAGGTTTCTGTCTCATCACAGCCAGGCTGGGTAGGAGCCATCAGGGAGAAAAGCTGTGTGGTGGAGAGGACAGACACCATGCAGCTGGTCTGGTTCAGGCCTGGCTTGGCTCAGGACCAGCTGGCATGTGGCCTTGGGAGCTTGCAAAGAAGACAATCATCAAGGGAGCCCACCTCAGAAGTTGCTGGTGAGGATGCAACAGGGTTTTAGGTGGGAAGAACAGAGGAACCGTGGTAGCTAACGTGGCCTGAGAGAAGAGCAGAGAGGGAGCTACTACCTCGGGAGGAGAGTCCAGTGTGGCACCGCTGAGGTGTGAGCCTGCCTGTAGCCTTCTGACGTGTCTGTCCTTACTCCTCTCTTGCTCCTATGGACTGAGAGGGAGACTGGTCTCTTCTCACTCATCTGCTGATGCAGAACAAATTGTCCCCATGTGCACAGCTTGAAACAACAAACACGGAATACCCCACAGTGTCAGGCACCCATGAGGAGCCAGGCTGGGTGGTTCTGCCTCGGGGCCTCTCACGAGTCACACTGTTGGCTGAAGACCTGACAGGCACTGGAGGTTGCCTGTCTAAGTGAACTCTCATGCCCGTTTTCTTTTTCTTTCCCTTGGGTGCTGTAAACTGAACCCAGGATCTTGTGCTTGCAGGGCGAGCCCCCCCCCCAACCCCCGAGTCCTCTCAAGGATTTTGATGGGAAATCTCTCTTGGCTACTCACAGGGCTAAGCTGAGCCCCCGCCAACATCACCAGGCTGGCCTGCCAAGAACTTCTAAGGGGAAAGTGAAAGACAGGATGGGGGGGGAGAGAAGAGGAGGAGGAGGGAGAAAGAGGAGAGGAAAGGACGTGGAGGGGAGATAGGGAAAGGACTGCTACACCTGAGCCTGTGCACACATGTAATCCCAGCACTTGAGAGGCTGAGACGGGGGGGGGACGGACGGACCAGGAGTGTGAGCGCAGCCTGGGCATGCTAGCTGTTTTACTTGTCGCTAGCTCCCAATGCCTGATGAAAGCAACTTGAGGGTAGAAGGGTTTACTTTGGCTCTTGGTCTCTTGTCAGGACAAGAACGGTTCCATGATCTATGGTGGATCAGCTTGTCGCATCTCATCCAAAGGATCAGGAACCAGAGATCTTGGTCAGAACTCAGCCAGTTAAATCCCTCTAGCTCATAGTTTTAGTCAAAAGTTAGCCGCTGGGTGTCCAAAACAGTGCCACCAACTGGTGGGCAAGAATTCAAACCCCTGACCCTCTGGGGATCATTCTACATTCAAACCAGAGCATTGCACTATATAGCAAGATCCTACTTCCAAAAACAAGACTGAACAAAAACCGAGCAGGAAGGAAGGAGGAAATGCAGCTGTCTTTTCATAACTCAAATCTGTAATGCTCTCTCTGTTTGCTGCCCACATTCTATCCAAGAGATACAAGTGATACCTGACACTGTCACAGAAAAGCCACCACTGTGGTGAAGAGTCTACAGGACTCATTGATGAAAACCTCATGATTGTACAGAGTGCAACATCACCTTATAGAACTAAATTGTCTTGGGCCATTACTTAGTGCCCATAAATACCCATTCAACACCAAATGTGTTAAATGAATGGACCTTTAGGTTTCACGTGTTAGGATTCTCTAGAGGAACAAAAGTTATAGAATGAGTCTATTTAGAGAGAAAGGGGATTTATTAGAATAGCTTACAAGCTGTGTGGTCCAGGTACTTCAATAATGACTGTCTACCGATGGACGGTCTAAGAATCCTGTAGTTGTTCAGTCCATGAGACTGGATGTCTCAACTGGTTCCAGTGTGTGGCAGAATCCTGAAGAATTATGCTCTAATCCCAGTGAAGGAATGAACTTGTCAGCAAGAATGAGACGAAGTAGACACACAGAGAGAGAGCTTTCTTCTCCCATGTCCTTTATATAGGCTGCCAGCAGGAGCTGCAGCCTAGATTAAACTGTATTTTCCCACCCCAAACATCTGGATTTAAAGTGAATTTTCCCACTTCAAATTACTTAAGAAAAAATCCTTCATGGGTGGACCCAGCTGCTTGGATTTTAATTAATTCCAGAAGTAATCAAATTGGGAACCAAAAATAGTCATCCCAAGTCTATCCCTTGCAAACTTGAAACATAATCATATAATAAGTTATATTTAATTTCCAAATGTAAACAATCACCAGATCATATCCCTAACATGGTATAACTGCACCATGTACAATTACAAACCCATTACATATTTAACCAGGTCATAATTATGCCTAACATGATACAACTATCCTTTATGTAACCACAAACTTAGTATTGATTATAGAATAGATTTAAATATGTTGGCCACTGATACTCTCTTAATTGATGTTACATTACGTGGTAAAGAGATTGAAGAAAGAAAACACAAAAATCTGTACAAACACATTCTTAAAAATGACAAAAACACTCATGTCAACTATAATCTTCTTTTCTGCAACTGGTCACTTGGCTTTAGCTGATATTTGTAACTACTTTTCTCTACTAAAAGCAGATCTCAGCTCTTTTCCTGGAGGAGTGACCCATACCTTCATTCCTGAAGGCCTGTGCCTGGATTATACTATCATAGTTTCCTATTGGCTTTAATCACAGGACATGGTAACACCAAGAGACGCCCTGAAGGATCTTCTGCACTCCAGACACAATCCTCCTTACCTCCACTGTGGAGAGGCAATGCAATTTCCCCTTGGTAATATGGTCCATCAATCATTCCTCCTAACACTATTATTCCTTTCATTGCCTATTTGCTTAGGGGCATTAGAAGACCAGATGGAAGTCTGAGTTTCCAGTTCAGTGGGGGTATTTGTTGTGTCTCCAGACAGGAATGCTTCCCACTCTGGAGCAAAAGCTTCTAGTCCAGCAGATCTTAAGATCACGGGAACAGGAAGCAAAAACTTCCCTAGTGAATCACTATAGGTGATACTGAGAGGAACTATTCTATTGTTTACACTTCAACTCTGGGACCTGTATATCCTGGCTAGAGGAGAAGCTATACACTATTTTCGATGTTGACTCAAAGAATATACTCCTTCTGAAGAGCCCTGCCCCAGCCCTTCAGGCTGCTGTCGCCATATTGACACTGTAAGAGTGTCTCCAAAAGGTCATTCCATAACTGTATCAGGCTGTCTACTTCAAGATGGTAGGGAACATGGGGATGCCAGTGAATTCCATGGTCATGGACCCAATGTTTCACTTCTCTGGCTGTGGACTGAGCTCCTTGGTCAGAAACCATACTGTGTGGAATACCATGACTATGGATAAGGCATTCTGTAAATCCACAGATGATGGTTTGGGTAGAAACATTACATACAGAAAGGCAAATCCATAACCAGAATAAGTATCTTCTCTAGTAAGGACAAAGCAGTGTCCTTTCCATGGAGGAAGTGGCCCAGTGTAATCAACCTGCCTCCAGATTGCTGACTTGTCACACCAGGAATGGTGCCATGTCTGGGGCTCAGTGTTGGTCTCTGCTATTGGCAGATCTGGCACTCAGCATCAGATGTAGGCAGATCAGCCTTGATGAGTCCATGGACACCCCCATCTCTGCCACCATGGCCACTTTCTTCATTAATTCACTAGGTAATGACAGGGGTGGCAGGGGAAAGAAGTCAACCATTGACAGAATGGGTCATCCTATCTATATGATGGTTGAACTCCTCCTCAGCTGAAATCAGCTTTTGATGAGTGTTGATATGGGACATCTTTCACCACTTTGGAGAGATCTATCAACACATGAAAACTTTGTAGATTTACAAGACAAAGAAAGTCACAAATCAAGGCAAGTGTAAAATGCAGGGGTGGGAACCTCAGAGAGGCAGGTACATCAGGATGGGGGACCTCTCTACAGGCTCCAGATGTTATCTGCTGGCATCCTTAGCTATTGGGTTAAAGCTAGTTGTCCATAAGTTAATAGACTCTATTGTCACACCTCTAGTTCTGACACAGAGGGAGGCAAACATGGCTGGTCTGGGGAGGCAGCCAGGAGAAGGGAAGTAGCCTCTGTCCTGCAATGTCCCCATCTCTCTACAGGACTGCAGTCAGATCAGCCAGCCAGGCTCTGCAGACGGATTGCTTTCAGGGATTTTCCTTCACCAGTGGACAAGGCAGCTTCCCTTCAGAAGTCTGATAATCAAAGAGGGGACAGCAAGTCTCAATTGTGAATATGCCCATTGCTGCCAGACAGGACAGTTACACAGGAGCAGGTGGGATTTATCTTTTTACTCTGACTATTCCCCGGTTCCATGTTGATCTTTGAACCATCAGAGAAACAGAAAAGCCATAACCTCAAAATCCAGCTGCATCTGCCTTATTGATTGGAACACAGAGACAGGTGTTTCCGCTAGCTAGAGTTTCTAAATTCATCTTACCAGAAATCATCCTGTCTGCCTACTTACAGTCTAAGCACAGAGCACACCTTGTCAGCATTTCCTAAGAGGTGGGAGGAGTCCCTGGTGGGATAAATAGACATCAGTGTGCAATGGGAGACCAGGAACCCAGGAGGGCAGCAGCTGCGAACATCAGGACTCACCTAACGCAGACACTGGCAGCGGCAACAGCTCTGCAGGTAATGCCCAGGGTTCCTTCTCTCCAGGGACAGAGGAGAAGCCTTTGCAGGAGTGTGGAAATGATGATGACGTAGTGTCTTGATTTAGGGGATGGAGAGGAAATGTTTCTGGGGCACTAGATTGGGAGTCAGGGGACATTTCTAGGGTACATATGAATCTTGTCTCCAGTCTGGGTCTTCAAGTCTATGGGAGATGTGGATGCCATGGCTATGCTCCTGGAGAGTGAGCGGAGCCTGCTTCTTCCTACGCTTCACAGGGAGGACGTATTGAGACCTTGTCTAGCCTGGGTGCTGCCGTCATAGCTAGGAGGAGACAGGACGGTTACAGAGTCCCTTTGGGGGAGGTGGCAGCCCTTCTGTTCTTACAGCAGAAAGAAAATAACTTGGTGTCAGGATACCCAATTCCCCAGCAGATACTATGGCTAAGAGTAGAGGTGCTGCCCTCTCCTATGGAGGGAAAGAAGGCAATCGCTCAGCCACTGAGCCAGGTCTCCTGCACAAACAGACTAGCTTGTTTTCTGTGGAAATAATTTTGAAGTATAATATAATTGAAGGTTTTAACAAGGAAATGGATGTATCTGTTTGGTATTAAACACAGGGTAAAAGAGGCTAAAATCTCTGATCCCTCTGCAGGCAAGCCACAGACCTGAGGACTTGTGGCTCTGCTCCAACACCTCTGCTCCCCTGTCCCCTCCGCTCCCCTCCTATACCCTTCTGGTCTTCTCTACCCTCTATCTGCCCCCTTCATTCCCTCATGTGATCCCCCTCTCTCCCTGCTCATATCCTCCTGTCCCCTCTTCCTTCCACTTTCTCACTCCTGCATCCTTTCCCCCGCCTTGTCCTGTCTCCTCCTATCCACCTTCCCCGCCATCCCTTTCCTGTACCATCTACATTCTCTTCTGAACTCACCTATAGAGTGGACAGAGGCTAAAGCTGGGCACCCGTGTTTACCACAAAAGCAAGCTTTCACATGTGGTCTTTTAGGATGCATGTCCCCCCCCATTCCAGGAGTGTACGGTGGAGATGACCCTCTGTAAATTCGCTAAAAACACCCACGATGCCCATGATAAGCCAAACACCTTCACTAATAACATAACCTGCACCGCTCAACAGGCTGCCCAGAGGGATCCACACATTTGTCAGCCACCACCACACAGCCATGCTGACAGTCTAGATGAATATGGCCTAGGCATCAGAGACTGGCACACCATTAATTTTTCTTCCTGTCAGGAATCCTTCTAAGCCTGAGATACAAACCACCATGTGAATCCTGGAGGGCTTAAAGAACTACCCTCAATGTGCCCTTCTAATGCCTTTTCTCAGGGGTATCATGGCTTTGGGACTACGACAGATGTGTGCAGTGCTTTCTTTAAATCAGGCCATCCCATGTCTAGAAACATGAACCAGATACAGACAAGGGCAGGGAGAAGCCATGGACATGTCATCTGGAGTTGGGGGTGGGACATTTGCTACTGATCTAATTCAAAGATCCTTCACTGAGTCCTGACTACAAGCTGGTGACGGTGGGTGGGGCACAAGGGCAAATTAAGAGAATTCCCTGATTTCTAATGAGTCCTTGTGCTAAGCCAGAACAGGAAAGAAGTTAAGATTACACAAGGCTTGTGCCCATCCCTGGGTCCTTCTCTTCCTTACATTGTGAACTGACATATCCCTTCATTTCTATGGTTCCTGATTCTCTATTAGGAAAATTGGCTACCAGAGCATGATTTCCTCCGGTGATAACTGGGTGCATGAGATCTGGCACTGCCATTTGATGGGCCAGAGCACCTCCTATGGATGGTCACAGAGGCAGAGATGAGCAGCAGAGCAAGGACACAGTGCAGGCCAGGGTGTAGGAATACAATATGGTCAGGGCACCACCTGGCCCTCCCAGAGACTTAACAGATCTTTCTTGTCAACCTAGAGAGCAGAGAAGATGGCCCTCCGGGTAGCTTTTATTCTTTTGGTGGCTGCATTCTGCCCTGCTGTCCTCTGCCAACAAGATGGAACATTGGGAAAGGAAACCACAGTCCAGGAAGAACAAAACAATGAGACAAAAGTGGACAGCTTAACCCTGGCCTCCATCAACACCGACTTTGCCTTCAGCCTCTACAAGCAGCTGGCTTTGAAGAATCCAGATAAGAACGTCATTTTCTCCCCATTCAGCATCTCATTTGCCCTGGCCTTCCTGTCCCTGGGAGCAAGCAGCAACACCCTGGAAGAGATTCTGGAAGGTCTCAAGTTCAATCTCACAGAGACTCCTGAGGCAGATATCCACAGGGGCTTTGGACACCTCCTCCGCATGCTCAGCCAGCCAGGGGACCAGGTGCAGGTCAGCACAAGCAGCGCCATGTTTGTTGAAAAACGCCTGCAGATCCTGGCAGAGTTCAAGAAGAAGGCAAGGGCCCTGTACCAGGCTGAAGCCTCCTCGACTGACTTCCAGAAGCCTCATGAGGCCAAAAAGCTCATCAATGACTATGTGAGCAAAAAGACCCATGGGAAGATCAAGGAACTGATGTCCGACCTGGATGATCAGACGTCAATGGTGCTGGTGAATTACATCTACTTTAAAGGTGAGGATGGCCACTGGTTGGGCATGGAAGGAGAAGATGTTGGGTGGGTACCTTGTGTCTTTACAATGACGCCTTAAAAGGAGGTGCTCATGGCCTTGGAGACAGGGGTGTTTAACTTCTTTTTTGTTTGTTTTTGTTTTGTTTTTTTTTGAGACAGGGTTTCTCCGTATTGTTTTTGGAGGCCACGCTGGAAATTTCTCTGTAGACCAGGATGGCCTGAACTCACAGAGATCCCCCTGCCTCTGCCTCCCAAGTGCTGGAATTAAAGGCGTGTGCCACCAATGCCCAGCTGGTGTTTAACTTCTTATTGCTAGCAAGCCCTACTCATCCCTTTGGATCTTCTAGATATAGTTGCTGTTCCTGGTACTTACTCCACAGTACCCCTGATATCTCAGTTTAAGAGGGCTGAAACTGGGTGTGACTTAATTTTACTGACTAATAAATGCATAGCTCAGGTGTCCAGGCTTACCTGAGTGTGCATAACACATGGTTTCTCCCTACAGAAACAGTGTCTTAGTCAGTGTTTTGTTGTTGTGAATAAACACATGGCCATGGCAACTCTAATGAAGGAAAACATTTAAATTGGGCTGGAGCACTTACACTTCGGGGTTTCTGTACATTATCATCATAGTGGGACATGGCAATATGCAGGCAGACATGGTACTGGAGATGTATCGGAGAGTTAAACATCTTGTGGGCAACAGGAAATTGTCTGAGACCCAGGCCAGTATCTTCAGCATTTATGAGACCTCAAAACCTGTATCCACAGTAACACACATCCTCCATGAACCACCCCCAATCCAACAAAGGCACATCTCCTGATAATTCCACTCCCTGTGAACTTATGGGGGGGCAATTGCATTTAAAGTGCCACAGAAGAAGTCCCTACTTCAGGCCACTACATTATTTCTAATATGCTCCTACAGAATTGTCTTCTAGAGAAACTCCGTCTTTAGGAGGATACAGGTGATCTAGAGACTTCTTGGCCTAAGGAGCCTAGCTACCCCATTGGTAAGAGGGAAGCAGCTTGAAGTGCCCTGTTGGCAGCTTTTCTGCATGACCTCTCCCATGAGCCTTTTCTGCAATGCCGGACCAGGACATGGAAAAGCAAGGCCTGAGGAGAAGCCATTAGTGGGAGTGTTCTGTGTTTAGTGTCTGGATATGTCATGGACTTTTAGTTTTTTAATTAGTAGCCCAGGCAGCCTGCAGGGTCACAGTGTTCGACTAACAATCCAAGGACAGGGGGTCTGAGGTTGGAGGCAGGAGAGTTGGGAAACTAGGCTAGAATTGCTGTGGGTAAGGTTAGTGGGGAGACATCCAGTGCTCACACCTACAAATCCCTTCCTGAAAGACCAAGGAGGAAGGCAATAGCTCACAAAATGATGCCTGATAAAAATCTTGATGTGACTATATCTGGGGTGGATTTGGGAGTCTGGACTCTGGATAGTCCAGAGCAAAGGAGGGCAGGCTCTGATACTACAGACAAAACACAATTGTCCATGGACAGAGTAGGACAGGAGGACAGAGGACAGGAATCCAGGATGGCCCCAGAGAAGCTGTGATCTGAATGGAGGGGAAGCAGAGTGATGGCTGGAGGATTAGACTGCAGGGTGTGTCTCTCTCTGCTGGCCCAGGATCCAAGCTCAAGGATGCTTGGCTGTGAGGTGGGGATGTATGTTTATGTTGCTGGATCCTGAGCCCAAGAAACTGTCAAAGTACCAAATCCTCCAGCGTGTGCTGCAGATGGTCACATGCACTTGGGACATGGGACTAGTCTCAGTAAGATGTCTCTGATTCATCAAGGTGAACATAGTCCATGTGGGAGAACAGGTCTCATTACCTATGTCTTGGCCAAACAACTATGGGCACTGGTAATCCAACTCTGGGAAGATGAAGATCTCTCTAAACCCATTCATCGCTCTAGTTTCTACCTTCCATTAGGTGGTTCACAGTAAGGGGCACCATCTACAGATCCTGTTTCTCCTAAAACTCGTCCCACAAGACATGCCTTCTAGACATGAGGAAGAATGGATGCCATCTCTCCCCAGACTCCAGTTCAGCACTGTCACTCTCGTCTCTCTGTTACACACCCACCCACAAGTCCCTGGCTGTTTTTCAGATATCTCATGTAGGGATGCTTTGATTTTGAGTTTCCCATTTCCAAATGAAGTCTTTGGATCACTTCTCAATCATAGTTCTACATCTGCCAAGGTTTTTTCTAATCTATATCATGTAACAGTAAGGGAAACTGTGTTGTTGAAGACAGATTGATTACTATCAAGACTTAGAAGCAGGGCAGAAATGGGGTGGAGGTGAGTCTCTCAGGTGTTGTCACCATCTGATGACCTGCTCCACATTTAGGAAAATGGAAGGCGCCCTTTGACCCTGATTTCACATATGAGTCTGACTTCTACTTGGACAACAAGAGGTCTGTGAAGGTGCCCATGATGAAGCATAAGGACCTGACCACACCCTACTTCCGGGATGAGGAGCTGTCCTCCTATGTGGTGGAGATGAGGTACAGAGGCAATGTCAGTGCCATGTTCATCCTCCCTGACAAGGGCAGGATGCAGCAGCTGGAATCCAGCTTACAGCCAGAGACCCTGAGGAGATGGAAGGACTCTCTGAGACCCAGGTGCGTGTCCACAGGAATAGTGTTGGTGGCTCCCCATCCTGCTGTCAGCCTGGAACCCAATGTTCCTGTACCCAGAGTCTCAGTAGCACTTAGTGTAAGGATGAGACAGTCAGAAGGGGCAGGCGATGTGGAGGTGAATTTCCCTCTGCTGACTCAGTAGTTTGGGCTCTAACTGACTTTACTCTCATTTTTGTTGTTCACAAGATGACATCAGCTAGAGCAGGAGCTGAGCAGTCCTCTGTGTCTAAGAGGCTGTGATTACAAGGAATCTTGAATGGGTTTAAGGTGGCAGAGGGGAGCGAGGCTGAGATGATATCAGCCATGAGCATCAGCTCTGCCCTGTGAAGCCATCTCATCCCCTCAAACTCATTCACTCACCAACAGGGCAGTGATGACTTGAAGACCTACTGTGTGCAAAGTCCCTATTTAGACCCTGAGAACATATCAGAGACTCAAGCACAAAACTTCTTACACTTGTAATTGAGGAACACAGAGTAGGGAGATGGAAAGGCAACTAATCAGTATTTGATTTGCGAAAAGGTGAGAAGGGGTTAAGATGAAGAAAGGGAATTTCAAGGAAAAGGAAAAGCTGGCGTGTGGTGCAGTGTGCAGTTTTAAATAGAAGGATCGTTACATGAGGTTCAAGGGTCCACATGACAGAGGAAAGGCTGCATTTTGTGCATCTCAGAGGAACAGCTGGCACCAAGACTCATTGTCTGCCCCTCTAAACACGCTCAGGCACTGATGGATAATTAATGCATTAGGGAGAGGAAAGTCATGCGATGTAGGCACAGACTGATAGAGGGCTCCTGTCTGCTGAGAGCGCTCTATGGAGAGGCGCCCAAATACACTGTGATTTGAGGGGAACACAGTCCAGGGACTCCTTCATTTCTCTTTTTCATTCTCAGGATGATCCATGAGCTCTATGTGCCCAAGTTCTCCATCTCCACTGACTACAGCATGGAGGGCATCCTTTCACAGTTGGGCATCAAGGAAGTCTTCTCCTCACAGGCTGACCTGTCTGGGATCACAGGGGACAAGGACCTGAGAGTCTCTAAGGTAAGCTGAGATGTTAGGAAAAGCCATGTTGGGTACTGTGACAGATTCCATGGCAGGCAAGGGAGAAGGAGCTGGAGGACAAACACGCCAGGCAAAGACAGCTTAAGTGAGAAGTTTTATTAGAAAGGGAAGGAGGAGAAAAGAGGTAAAGAGACACAAGACACAGAGAGGACAAAAGAGAAGAGTAAGACAGGAAAATTCCTGTCTGCCCCAGGGGAATAGAGAAAATAGAGAGGGAAGGAGACAATGGAGAGAGAGAGGGAAAGAGAGAATGGAGAGAGAGAGGGAAAGAGAGAATGGAGAGAGAGAGCAGAGAGACTGAAAAAGAGAAGAGAGGACAGAGTGGAGTAGGAAAGAGAGCGTAATTGGGTGAGGGTCTTTCTTTTAAAGGGGTCCTTTGCACCTGTGCTGACCAGGGTACTGCCTGAGTGTATTCTGCCAGGTGATGGGGTCAGGCCAGCATAGTGCCTGAATCCTTACACAAGACACATTGGGTGGTTGTCATTGGTGCCTGAATGTGGAAGGTGAAGGCCAGATGGTAAGGAGGATGGCAAATGGGTGAGAAAGCCTGCATTTCTGAGATTCTGGATTGCAATCTAAATAGTCCTGCTGGGTACCATGCAGCCACGCCCTCCTCTACCCCCTGAATACATCCTCACCCTGGAGCCTGAGTGGGAAAGAGCCTGTAGTTGGTCTTTAACTATCGTGAGCACCAACCTGTGCTGTAGTGAGGATGTCACCCACAATGCACTGCAGGAGAAAACACTTCCAGACTCAGCTTCTTCACTGCACACATGGCCCAGTGCTTCTTGACAGGCACACAGAACAATACCAGTAAAGGAAATCACAAGGGATGAATGACAGTGGAAATGAAAGCTTAAGAATAGAGAGAGGATGTCTTATGACCACACACTACATTCCCAGATGCACAGCCTGGCCATGCCTAGAGTTCTGTCCAGTGCCCACTCAGAGCCCTGGGCTCAGGTCTGTACAGCAGGGCATGGCAGTGTGGGAATGAGAAGCCATGTCCTGTGCATTGCTGTCGCGTGTCCCCAGGAGGCTGCAGCAGGAGGGATGCTGAAGCCTGCACTGGCTGTCAGCACCCTGGCTGTTCCCTCGGGGTCTCCTGAGAAGCTGATGTGGAGTAAGGACTGGAGTTGTTTATACCCATCCCCCAGTGTGCAGTGGGTTTGAGGGCAACACAGATCCTCAAGACTGAGCAGACTCCGGGCATGCCTCATCTCACACCCTGAGCAGAGACTTGGAAACCCCAGGGTGAGAGCTCGTGCAAGGAACAAACACCTTCACCAGCAGAATCTGCTCTCCTCCCTCCTGGTCTCCAGTGAGTGATGTCTTTCTCCTCAGGTCGTCCACAAGGCTGTGCTGGACGTGGGTGAGACGGGCACAGAGGCAGCGGCTGCCACAGGCCTCAGGATGATGGGATCAGCTCTAATTATGAACCCTCTGAGACTGCGTTTCAACAAGCCGTTCCTGATGATTATCTATAACACAAACACTCAGACTCCACTCTTTATGGCCAAAGTCACAAATCCCAAGCAAAACTAGAACATCCCAAGTGCTGAGGCTTCTTCCCAGGAGCCAGGGATTAATCCTGTATGAGAGTATCTATCTGCATTTTTGCTTCCATGCTCTGATTGGCTGTGGCATGCCTGGATTGGACAATGACAGTAACTAACTGTATGACTGCCACATGCACAGAGTCCTGGGGACAGTCAGTGTCAGGCTCCCAGTCCTCTTGGCAGCACTAGCTCATATTCCTGAAGCTGAAATCTATCCTTGTGGCCACTCCTTCCCGCCACTATTTTATCTGCCTCTACACAAAAGCCTGGGCCCTGGAAGGTAGGCTCACCCCTGTCTAGGCTCTTGTTATGTCTACATTCAGCTTCCACAGCCTTCATGGAATCATGCAAACTTATAGGTGAACCATGTGTCCCTCAGCCCCAGGACACAGAAGGGAACCCGCTACCATGAGTCTATTTCCAGCATCTGGGGACCAGTTGGTGTCCAGTTCCTGCCTCACACCTTTCCTCTTCCATTCACTGTCCCTTCAGGGGATCCTCACACTTCCCACATCTGGCACAGTGTTGGAGCCCTCACTCCTGCAGCTGCATGGAGCCTGTCCTTCAGATCAGCTCCCTTCTCCCTTCTATACCTACTTAGGGTAGAGGAGCCTTTCTCTAGTTTCCTAATGACCACACTCACAGAACAGAAAGACTCCTCTTCTTTCCTTACCCAAACTGGAGGGCTTGAAGCAAAAGATCAATAAACATAACTGCATGAAAAGTGATCAGGCAGTTTCACTCAGCTTCCACTGGCAGGGGCATGGCCTCTAGTAACAACAGGGTAGTAGAGATTGTCACTCACAATCTGTGACTTGTGTGATGGACCTCTCACCTTATGGTATCTTCATTCCCTTTTGGATGAGGAAACTGAGCACTAAAATGCTTAGTCATTTTCCCATGATTTGTGGCTAGATATTATGACTGGCACGATGTTCTTCAAGTGTCCTGATGCCAGAGGAACACTCTACATCAAGCCTGGGTTCTGTACCCAAGGCTTCACCATGGTGGTGGCAGGTGGATCATAAAACAAGGCTTGGGATGCTTCAAAGAGAACACCCACATGGGTCTAAGTATCATGTGACCTCTGTGCTGAGGTCAGAGGAAGCTGAGACTGTGGTCACTATAGGCTTAGGAAAAAGGCATTGGATAACAAAGAGCCTGGCCCTGTGAGGATGCTCGAATAACTGAGAACCGCAGGGAACTCTGGATGGGTGAACCACTGTTGCTGACTTGGGACACTCCTAACTCTGGGTGTCTATAAGACTGAACTGTTCTAGGCAGATCTGGGATTGTACTATGGCAGTTTCAGAGAACATCAGACCATATCTGAGAGGAGAAAGGGTAATTCAGCTCAAGGATCAGCTGATTTAGTGCCTGGGTAGAAGACAAGAGGGAACCACAGTGAATTTAGGTTGGGGTTGGGTGGCTATGGAGAATATTAGAGACCAGAAGCATTGCTGGAACCATGCACAGAGTGAAAAGCTATACAAATGGGGCTTACATGAATCTTGAGGTCATAAGAGCACACATTGAGCAGGTGGGCATGTGGTTGCTGAGAATTATAGCCTGGAGGGTCACACACAGAATGCCCTACCCAGTGCGCACTAAGGTATCAGTGCATGAAGACTATGGAGTGATAAGAAGGGACCCATGCATTGAAAGCAGCCATGTCCCAATTGCAATGGGTCCAACAGTCATTCAAGGCTCTGAGGTGGCCACCTCATGTACTCTATGAGCCCTGGCATGCCTCAGCTGCATCCCTCCATTCTTCCTGGCTTTAAGTCAGGTATCTAAGGAGCCTGGTGCTGAGTACATCTCATTCTGCCTGTGAGCCATGTCCAGAAGTTGTGGGAGATGTCAGAGTCATCTCCTAAGGGAGTCTAGGACACAGATATCAGGGTTTGAGTCTTCCCCATCCTATGAGTTTTCCCTCAGGAATTGACCACCAAATGTTTCCCTGGTGATGAACCCACTGCAGGGACTGCTTCACTTCACTGTGCAATAGAGGTAGCAAAGTGTGGAAGGAGAAGAGGCATGCTTACAGTAGTGATCTCAGATACCTAAGGACAGGACGAAGTATATAATGGTATCCCTGCCCATGTGAGGGTCCCCAAGGTGCAACTGTGTGATCTGCAGGTCACAGTCAACTCCAGAGCCTTCTGAGAGGATGCTGTGCTGCTGCCCAGTTGTCTGCCTTTGTCCATTTTCTGATGTTTTTGCTGAGGAAAAGAGAGCAGGAAGTATGTAGAGGACTGTGTCAGTTAGCCTTTTGTCACTGGGACAGCACAGCTGAGATAGCCCACTATGGGAAGCAAATGTTAGGTTTGAATCTAAGTTCCATACAATTCTTTCCAGAGTCTACTGACTTCTTAGCTTTGGGCCTGAGACAAGTCAAGCTTTATACATATAAAGACAGTAAGGGACGAATGAGGGCTGGGGACAGGGAGAGGTGGGTAATGTGTTTCCCACCAACTCCAACAAATGCAAAAGACAGATTTATGTTCTGAAACAGAAGAAAGAAAGCCAAGTGTGCTCACATGAATTTGATCCCAACTCTGCTGAAGTGGGTCCATGGGACACCCTGGTTAGCCACCCAGGCAATTCAGTGTCTTCCAGACCTACAAAGAGTCCCTTTATCAATGCCATCATGCATGGAGAATGACAGTTGAGGTTGACCTCTGAACTCATATGGATTTGCACATGGATGCACAATACACATTCACAAGTACACAGAATCACATAAAGTAAATGCTCAAGGAGAGAGAAAAGAGGGCTGGGGAACTAGCTTCCTCGTGGGATGCTGGCTTTGCTTATATGTATGTAGTTTGGGGTCCCCAGTTCTGTTACAGAAAGGAGACAGCCACCAGGATGGGAGGAAATGTCTACAGCTCAAGCATCTGTACCTAGAATTCTGATGAACACTTGGATAACACAGCCACACTTCACACCACCAGGAAGGCTGTGCCCTTTTCATGTGTTACACTAGTTTTTCCTCACAGCCAGGATGGGTGAGGATCAGCAGGGACCAAGGCTGAGTTGATGGAGAGGATGGACACCATCCAGCCCCTCTGGACCACACTCCTGGCTTGGCTCAGCATCAACTGCTGTCTGACCCTGAGATGCTGCACAGTCGCAGTCAGTAACGGAGCCCACCTCATCAGGTGCTGCTGAGGATGCAACAGGGTCTTATGCATGAAGGACAGAGCAACCCTGGTGGCCATCATGTTCTCTGTTTGGAGAGAGAAAGAAGGGCAGGAAAGGGAGCTCCTGCCTAGGGAAGAGTCCCCTGTGAGACACCACTGTGTGTTGAAATGATCCACATGAGATAATTATTGGCAACAATGCTACTAAGACAATTAATGGTTTAAGTGCATTTATTAATGGTCAGACTAAGAGTGAACAAATGCTTCCAAAAATCTATAGCTAAACAAACTCAGAAGACAGCGTGTTTAAAGACAAAACCCACAAAGACCATAAACTGCATACTATTTAGATGAAGATCAGATCAAGTTGAAATTTTCTTTCCTGGCATAACAGAGTACTTTCCTCAGTTATAACATGACAAACAATTTTGAGTTATATCTTCTTTATTTATTGCGGTTCCCTGCAACTCCGGTTGATTCTTCTGCACCATGGACGTGTCCATGGGAATCTCAACCACATGTGAAGACAGACATGACTGCTGTGGGGGAACAGAGAGGGCTGAGAACTGTGTGAGCAAACACGAGATGGAGTCAGAGCATGGAGGACTCACGTTAGTCATGTCTGTGTGACCCTGCATGTTGTCTTGTGACATGTCTGTCCTCACTCTCTCGCTTGGTGCTAAGAACTATGAGGGAGACTGGTCTCTTCTCACTCATCTGCTGGTGCAGAATAAATTGTCCTCAAATGCACAACTTGAAGCAATAAACATGGAATATTCCACAGTGTCAGGCACTCATGGGGAGCCAGGCTGGGTGATTCTTCCTCAGGGCCTCTCGTGAGTCACACTGTTGGCTGAAGACTTGACAGCTGTGGAAGGTTCCCTGTTCAATTCAATCTCATGACCATTTTCTTTTTCTTTTTCCTCTGGGGACATTCCACTTTCAAACCATAACCCTTCCCTACATAGCAAAAAAACAATACTTACCCCCTTGCAAAACAAAAACAAAACAAAAAAACTAGTGGATAGGAGGGAATGGTGAATCTGTAGTTTCATAAGTCAGGTCTATGTTGCCCTCCAGGTTTGCTGTCAACATTTTATCCATGAGACATAAGTGATAACTGACACTCTCACAGAAAAGTCACCATTGCAGTGAAGAGTCTACATGGCTCATTGATGAAATCATCATGATTGAGCAGAGTGGAACATTACTTTATAGAACTAAATTATATGGGTTATGACTTTGTCCCCATAGTTACCCATTCATCATTGAACACATTAAGTGAATGGGGTATTAAGTTTCAGATCTTAGGGTGTTCTAGGGGAACAGAAGTTATCCAGTGAATCTGTATATAGAGAAAGGGGATTTGTGGAAATTGCTTACACAACGTGGTCCAATTAGTTCAACAATGGCTGTCTACCAATCAAATGTCCAAACATGCAGTAGTTGGTCACTCCACGATGCTACATGTCTCGTGTGGTCTTCACTATATGCTGGAATCCTGAGGGAATAGGCTCTGATGCCAGTGAAGGAGTGGACTTGTCAGTGACAGTGAGAGCAAGCAGGCAGAGAGATCAAGCTTCCTTCTTCTATGTCCTTTCTATAGGCTGCCGTCAGAAAGTGTGGCCTGAATTAAAGGTGAATCTTCCCATCTCAAAAGATCCAAAGTAAAAATGTCATTCCCTATTTAAAATCATCATGTAAGAAACATTTCCTGACAGGAATTTCCTGATGCTTGGGTTTTACTTAAATCCAGATGGAGTCATGTTGACGGTCACATGTCCACCTGGTATCATCTTGACACATATCATGTTCCCATCGAAAACAATAAACAGGTCTTAGTTATGTCTTAACTATCCCATGTACAATTGTAAATACAGTGTATATTTAACATGTCAAAGTCACACCTAATATGATGTCACTATGCTTTATCTGACCAGAAATTCATTATTAATTTGATAATAGATAGTGATGTTCTTTGAGAGTCATTCTGTTAGCATGTCCTAACTGAATATTATACCCACTGGTATTCTCTGAATTAATGTTATATTGTATGATAAAGAAATTGAGGAAATAAAACACTAATACTTAGATAAATACATTCTTAACCTTAAATGACCAAAACACTCATGTCAGTTATAACCCTCATTTTTGGAACTGGTCACACAGCCTTCACTGGTATTTATAACTATGTTCCTCCATTACCTACTCTGTATTTCCTGCACACTCAGCAAGCACATCACCTGGTCTTTCATCTCTCCTGGAGAAGTGTCCCATGCCTTCACTCCTGTGTCATCCTGAGTGGATTACTTTGTTACAGTTTCACAAGACTTTAATCTCTGGATATGGTAACACAAGGAGATCCTCTGAGGGATCACATGAACTCCAGGAATAATGTTTCTTCCCTCCACTGTGGAGAACTAGTCCAATTCTGCTTTGTAATCTGGATCAATCACTCCAGCTAACACAGTTATTCCATTCTTAGACTGTTGGATAAAAACCAAAGAAACCCAAAGTATCCAGGTAGAAGTCTGGGTTTTCAGTTCAGTGGAATGTTTGCTTTGTCTCCTGTCACGGGCAATCTGACTTCTAAACCAAAACTTCAAGGGCATCAGAGTTTGTGTCATGGTAATAGAAATCAAAAATCTTTATTTATATCATTTGGGGTGATTGTGTGGGGAGCCCCTCCCTTTTCACTTCTTAACTCCTGAACCTGTAGATTCTGGCTACAGGACAAACCATACTATATATAGGAAAACAATTGGATGTGTATATCACTTTCTAGAGAATGCTGCCACAGACCTCCAGACTGTTGCCAATAATTGGTACTGTAACTGTGTCTTCCAAGGGTCATTCCATATCTCTATCAGGCCCAGTGTTTCAGGATTGTTAGGGACAAGATAAGATCAGTGAAATCACACTTCTTGGGCTCTGAAGTGAGTTCCTTGATCATAAGCAATACTGTGTGGAATAACGTGATGATTGATAAGGTACTCCTTAAATCCATGGATGATGGTTTTGACAGAAACAGTCCACACAGGAAAGATAAATCCATAACCAGAATAAGTATCTGCTCCAGTGTTTTAGACTGGGATTCTACTGCTGTGAAGAAACACCATGACCACAGCAACTCTTATAAAGGAAAACATTTCATTGGTCCTGGCTTACAGTTCATAGATTTAGTCCATTATAAGTATGATAGAATTCAGGTAAACATTGTATTGTAAAGGAGCTTAGAGTTCTATACCTTGATATATAGGCAGCAAAAATGAACTGAAGTACACTTCCTCCAACCATGACACACGTACAGCAATAAAGCCACACCTCCTAATAGTGCCACTCCCTGTGGGTCAAGCATTCAAACATTTGAGTCATTGAGAACAACCATCACATCCAGTAAGGACAAACCATTTTCTTTTTCAAGAAAAAAAAGTGATCTGATGTGGTCAACTTGTTATCAGGTGATTGCTGGCTATATAAGGAAAATGATGCCATATCTAGGTCTTAGTGGTGGGCTCTACTTTTGGCAGATCTGGCACTCAGTGGCTAATGAAACTGGGTCACCCTTGCTATCTGGTGGTTCATGTTGCTAAACCCATATGTAACCTTCATCTCTATCAACGTGACCACTTTGTTGATGGGTGTTGTGCTGACTGGTCTGTGTCAGGCACACAAACAAATAGTTAAATCAAAGAAGGGAATATTAATTTAGAATATACTTCCATAAGATCAGGCTCTAAGGAATTTTCTTCATTGGTTATTGAAGAAAGAGGGTCCAGCCCACTGTGGCTGCTTGAACTCCAGGTGTGGTGGTTCTGTAAGAAAACCGAGCAAGCCAGGGCAAGCAAGCTAGTAAGCAGTATTCCTCCAGGACCTCAACTCCTGTCTCAGGTTCTTTCATTCTTGAGTTCCTCTCCTAAGTTTCTTCGATGATGAACAGACATGTGGAGCTAAAAGAAAAATACACCCTTCCCTCCCCAACTCGCTTTTTGGTCACAGTATTTTATCACAGGCATAGGAAACCCTAAATAAGACAAGATGGTTCCAGTGCAGTGGGGCATTGCTGTGACAGACCTACTGTGGTTTGGGAGGATAGTGGGAGGACTTTGGGACTTTGGGCTGGAGAAGCCACTGAGTGTTGGGATCTCAGTGGGATGTTGTGTGGGAGCTGGAAGACAAGAATGTCGAGAGCTGTGCGGAGGATGGAGGCCTGGCTTGTGATGTCTCAGAGGGAAGTTTAAAGAATAGATTGAGTCCATGGAGGGGCAAAAAGACATAAAAGAAGACAGATCTTATATGAGATCAGGGTAGGGATCTGAGAGCTGATTCAGCCTCTTTGGATTGAAGGGGAGCTGGGTGCCCTTCTCTGAGATTGCTGACATTTGTGGGAAGGCACCATGGGTTGTCTGCTTCTCTGTTACATAGAGCCCTGCATTTAGGGTTCTGTTTAGCCAGCCAAAATCCTTCTTGTTAAGACCAGCACCTCCGTTTTGGGGACAGCAGCTTGGGGCCAGACACCTTGCAGCTGAGACTTTAACCCCACTTTTGACACAAACTCCACAGCTGCCATCTTAAAGAGAATAGCAGATGCTTTATAATAGTCATTGTGAGTGAGTATGGTATGAGAAGACTGGTTTGGGTTACCCACATTCCCTGTTCTAATGTAGAAGCAATTTCACAAAAATATAGATTTACAAGAGAGAGTCACAAATCAAGGCAAGTTTAAAATACAGGGGTGGAAACCTCAGAGAGGCAGGTGCATCAAGATGGGAAGCTCTATATAGCTTCAAGATGTTATCTGCTGACATCCTTGGCTATTGGGTTGAAGCTAGTTGTCTATAAGTTAATAGACACTATTGTCACAGCTTCTGACACAGAGGGAGACAAACATGGCTGTTCTGGGGAGGCAGCGCTTAGCCCAGGAGAAGGTGATTATTAACCTCTGTTCTGCAATGTTCCTGTCTCTCTACAGGACTATAATCAGATCAGCCAGCCAGGCTCTGCAGATGGATTGCTTTCAGGGGTTTTCCTTCACCACCAGGCAAGGCAGCTTCCCTTCAGAAGTCTGATAGTCAAAGTGGGGAGAGCAAGTTGCTGTTGAGAATATGCCCATTGCTGCCAGACTGGATGGTTACACGGAAATAGGTGGGGTTTGTCTTTTTGCTTCTGACAACTCCCTTGTTCCACGCTGAGGTTAGAGCCATCGGAGAAACAGAAGCCAAAACCTGAAAATCCAGCATCACCTGCATCGTTGATTGCAAAAGTGTTTGTTAGGTAAAGCGTCATAATTCATGTCACCAGAAATTCAAGCACAGAGCACAGCTTGTGTGTTTCAGCATTTCCTAAGAAAAAGGAGGAGGAGGCCCTGGTGGGGATAAATAGACATCAGTATGCTATGGAAGAACAACAGCCTGGGCGTGCAGCAACCCTGAACATAGGGACTCACCTAAAACAGATGCTGGCAGCTTGCATCAGCTCTACAGGTAATGCTCAGGGTTCTTTCTCTCCAGGGACAGAAGAGGAGCCTTGCCAGGACTGTGGTATTTGCAATAGCTGGGGTCTTGATATGGGGCATGATAAGGAGTTGTTCCTGGGCACTGGGTTGGACATTTCGGGGTGTATATAAATCTTCTCTCCTGTCTGCATCTTCATGCCTATGGAATATGCTTGTACCATGGGCGGTGCTCCTGGAGAGTGGATGGAGCCTGCTACTTCTGCACAGGAGAAAGTATTAAGACATAGTCAAGCCTGGGTGTTGCTGTCATAAGTAGGGGGGCACAGGACTGTTACAAAAGCCCTATGGGGCAGGTGGCATCCCTGCTGTGCATACAACAGAAAGGAAACCCCTTGGGTTCAGGGACCTCACTTCTCTAATATCATGGCGAAGAATAGGGTTCTACCTGCTCATAGCGAAGAAAACAGACAACCACTCAGCCACTCAGCCAGGTTTTCTCTTGCACAAGCAGACTAGCCTGTTTTCTGTGGGTATCATTTTGAAGTAAACTATTATTTGAATGTTTTTCCAAAGAAAAGGATTCATTAATCACAATAAACACAGTTAAAGGCAGCTGAAGTCCCTGGCTCCTCTGCAGGCATGCCCAACACACCCTTCACCTGATCGCTCCACTCTCCTCCTACACTCTTCTAGTCTTCTCCCCCTTCCATCTTCCCCTAACTCCCTCATGTGATCCCCTCCCTCCCTGCTCATATCCTCCTGCCCCCTATCTTCCACTTTCTCACCCCTGCATCCTATCCCCATCTTGCCCTCTCTCCTCCCTAGCCATCATCCACACCATCCCTTCCCTCTATCATCTACATTCTCTGAACTCACCTATAGAGTGGACAGAGGCTAAAGATGGACATCCATGTTTACCACAATCACAGGCTTTCAAATGTGGTCCTTTAGGATGCATGTTGCTCCCATTCCAGGGGTGTATGGTGGAGATGGCCCTCTATAAATTCCCTAAAAACACCCACAATGCCCATGATAAGTCAACACTTTTACTAATAATGTAGCCTGAACAATTCAACAGGCTGCCCAGAGAGGTCCAGCCATTGGCTAGCTACTGCCACACAATCGTCCTGACAGTCAAAATGGCATATGGTCCAGGTACCAGATACTGGGACTCCATTCATTTTTCTTCCTGTCTGGAGGTCTTCCTAATCTAGGATACAAACCATCATGTGAAATCCTTGAGGGCTTGAAGAGCAATCCCCAATTTGCCCTTCTAATGCCTGTCATTAGTGGTGCCAAAGCTTTGGGACTATATCAGATATCTGCAGTGACTTCTTTCAATTAAAAATCCCATGCCCTGGTACTACAATTTGAGTGGCCACAGCACCTTCTATGGATGGTCACAGAGGTGGAGATGAGCAGCAGAGCAAGGACACAATGCAGGCCAGGATGCAGGACTAGAATATGGTCAGGGCACCACCTGGCCCTCCCAGAGACTTAACAGATCTTTCTTTTCAAACTAGAGAGCAGAGAAGATGGCCCTCCGGGTAACTTTTGTTCTTTTGGTGGCTGCATTCTGCCCTGCTGTCCTCTGCCAACAAAATGGAACATTGGGAAAGGAAACCACAGTCCAGGAAGAACAAAACAATGAGACTAAAGTGGACAGTCTAACCCTGGCCTCCATCAACACTGACTTTGCCTTCAGCCTCTACAAGCAGCTCGCTTTGAAGAATCCAGATAAAAACATTGTCTTCTCCCCATTCAGCATCATAACTGCCCTGGCCTTCTTGTCCCTGGGAGCAAGCATCAACACCCTGGAAGAGATTCTGGAAGGTCTCAAGTTCAATCTCACAGAGACCCCTGAGGGAGACATCCACAGGGGCTTTGGGCACCTCCTCCACATGATCATCCAGTCAGGGGACCAGGTGCAGGTCAGCACAGGCAGCACCATGTTTGTTGAAAAAAGCCTGCGGATCCTGACAGAGTTCAGGAAGAAGGCAAGGGCCCTGTATCAGGCCGAGGCCTCCTCGACTGACTTCCAGAAGCCTCATGAAGCAAAAAAGCTCATCAATGACTATGTGAGCAAAAAGACCCATGGGAAGATCAAGGAACTGATCTCAGATCTGGATGATCAGACGTTAATGGTGCTGGTGAATTACATCTACTTTAAAGGTGAGGATAGCCACTGGTTGGGAATGGAGAGGGAGAACATAGTCTCTCTTGTCCTGTTTCTCCTAAAACCTGACCCACAAGACAGTGCCTTCTAGACATGAGGAAGATTGGATGCCATCTCTCTCCAGACTCCAGTTCAGCACTGTCACTCTCGTCTCTCTGTTACACACCCAACCACAAGTCCCTGGCTGTTTTTCAGTTATCTCACATAGGGATGCTTTGGTTTTGAGTTCTCCTTTCCAAAGCAGACCTGTGGATCACTTCCCATTCATGCTCTACATCTGACAACGTTGTCTCTAATCCAAATTATACAACCAGTAAGGGAAACTCTGTGTTGTTGAAGATGGATCCATTACTGCCAAGACTTAGAAGCTGGGCAGAGAAGGGGTGGAGGTAGGATCTCTCAGTTACCATCTGATGACCTGCTTCATCCTTAGGAAAATGGGAGACACCTTTTTCCCCTGATTTCACATTTGAGTCTGACTTCTACTTGGACAACAAGAGGACTGTGAAGGTGCCCATGATGGAACATAGGATTCTGACCACACCCTACTTCCGGGATGAGGAGCTGTCCTGCTCAGTGGTGCAGCTGAAGTACACGGGCAATGCCAGCACCCTGTTCATCCTCCCTGATGAGGGCAGGATGCAGCAGCTGGAAGACAGCTTACAGCCAGAGACCCTGAGGAGATGGAAGGACTCTCTGAGACCCAGGTGGGTATCCACAGGAACCAGAGCTGGTGGCTCCCCATCCAGTTGTCAGCCTGTAACCCAATGTTCCTTTACCCAGAGTCTCAATAGCACTCAGTGTAATGGTGAGACAGTCAGCAGGGAACAGTGGAGATGGGTTAATTTCCCTCTGTTGACGCAGGTAGTTTGGGCCCTGATTTTACTCAAGATGACATCAGGTTGAGCAGGAGCTGAGCAGTGCTCTGTGTCTAACAGGTTGTGATTACAGGGAATCTTGAATGGGTTTAAGATGGCAGAGGGAAGTGAGTTTGAAATGACATCAGCCATGAACATCAGCTCTGCCCTGTGTAGACATCTCATGCCCTCACACGCATTCATTCAGTGGGGGTGCAATGATGACTTGAAGACCTACCATGTGCCAAGCTCTGATTTAGACCCTGAGAAGATATCAGAGACTCAAGCACAAAATTTCTTACCCTTTTGGATTCATCTCATAGTTGAGAAAGAGAGAGTGGAGACATGGAATGCAAGTGTTCCGTATTTGATTTGTGAAAGGTGAGAAGGAATGAGGTTTAAAAAAATGAGGGTTCAAATAAAGGAAAGCTGGAGTGTGGTGCAGTGTGCAGTTTTAAATGGAGGGATCATTAGGCGAAGTCTGAGGGTCCACATGACAGGGCATCTCAGACTGCATTTGGGGCATCTCAGAGGAACAGCTGGCACCAAGGCTCATTGTCTGCCCCTGTAAACAGGCTCATGCACTCGGCCCTAGCGGATAATGAATGCATTAGGAAGAGGAAAGCTATGTGATGAAGGCATGGATAGGAAGAGGGTTTCTCTTTGCTGAGAGCAATGTCTATGCATAGGTGCACCAGATACACCATGCTTTCACTGTCCAAGGACTCTGACATTACTCTTTTTCATTCTCAGGATGATAGACAAGCTCCAATTGCCCAAGTTCTCCATCTCCACTGACTACAGCATGGAGGGCATCCTTTCACAGTTGGGCATCAAGGAAGTCTTCTCCTCACAGGCTGACCTGTCTGGGATCACAGGGGAAAAGGATCTGAGAGTCTCTAAGATAATCCAAGACACACTGGGTGATTCCCATTGGTGCCTGAATGTGGATGGGGAAGGCAAGTAGTGTGGGGGATTGTAAATGAGTGAGAAAACCTGCATTTCTGAGATTCCTTCATTCTGGGAAAGTTGGTTCACAGCCTATATACCTCTGCTGGATACCATGAGCCAATCCCACCTGTATCAACTAAACATAACCTCACCAAGGAGCCTGGGTACAGGAGAGTCTGTGCTATATTTTCAACCATCACTGGCCCCAACCTAAGGTGTAGTGAGGATGCTACCCACAATGCACTATAGGAGATTTCACTTCTAGCCTCAACTTCTTCACTGTACTGATGGCCCAGTGCTTGATGATTAGCGCACATAGCAGTAGCAGTAAGGAAATAGCAAGGGTGAATGGCAGTTGAGAGGAATACTAAATAATAGTAGTGAAGATGTCTTATGACCACACACTACATTCCCAGACACACAGCCTGGCCATACCTAGAGTTCTGTCCAGTGCCCAATCAGAGCCCTGGGCTCAGGTCTGTACAGTGGGGCATGGCAGTGTGGGAATGAGAAGCCATGTCCTGTGCATTGCTGTCAAGTGTCCCCAGGAGGCTGCAGCAGGAGGGATGCTGAAGCCTGCACTGGCTGTCAGCATCCTGGCTGTTCCCTCGGGGTCTCCTGAGAAGCTGATGTGGAGTAAGGACTGGGGTTGCCTATACCCATCCCCCAGTGTGTAGTGGATTTGAGGGCAACACAGATTCTCAGAGACTGAGCAGACCCCGGGCATGCCTCATCTCACACCCTGAGCAGAGACTTGGAAACCCCAGGGTGAAAGCTCGTGCAAGGACCAAACACCTTCACCAGCAGAATCTGCTCTCCTCCCTCCTGGTCTCCAGTGAGTGATGTCTTTCTCCTCAGGTCGTCCACAAGGCAGTGCTGGACGTGGCTGAGACGGGCACAGAGGCAGCAGCTGCCACAGGAGTCAGGATAGTGGGATCAGCTCTAATTATGAACCCTCTGGAAATACAATTCAATAGGCCATTCCTGCTGACTATCATTGACAGTAGTACTCAGATTCCACTCTTTATGGCCAAAGTCACAAATCCCAATGAAAACTAGAACATCCTAAGTGTTGAGGCTTCTTCCCCGGAGCCAGGGATTAAGACTGTAAATGTGTCTAAGTGTATTTTTGCTTCCATGCTCTGATTGGCTGAGGCATGCCTGTATGGAACAGTGAGTGAATAATTCTTTAATGCTGGCATGCATATGGTCCTGTGCACAGTCTGTATTGGGCTCCTAGTCTTCTTGGCATCACCTGTTCATTTTCCTGAACCTTGAAACTGTCTTTGTGGCCCTCCCTGCTGCCACTCCAGTATCTGTCTCTACCCAAAAGGCCAGCCACTGTCTAGGCTCTGGTTATGTCTACCTTCAATGTCCAAGCCTCATGGGATTATACAAGCATATAGGCCAAACATGTGGCCCTCAGCCCCGGAACTGAGAAGGGAAACTGCTGCCCTGAGTCTGTTTCCAGCATCCGGTACCACTCGGTGCCCAACACCTGCCTCACACTTTCTCTCTTGCACCCACTGGCCCTTCAGGGGCTCCTCATACTTCCCGCTTCTGGCACAGTGTTGGGAGAGCTCATTCTTGCAGCTTCATGGAGCCTGCTGGTCTGATCAGCTCCTTTCTCCCTTCAACACCTACTTAGGTCAGAGGAGCCTTTTTCTAGGTTCCCAATGACCACCCTCACATCACAGAAGGACGTCTCCACCATCCCTACCCAGAATGCAGGGATTAAGTCAAATGATCAATAAACGCATTACTGCATGGAAAATGTCCAGTGTTCATTCAACTCCAGGTGACAGGGGTGTGCTCTCTAGTGACAATACAGTAGTAGATATTGTCACTCACAATCTGTGACTCGTGTGATGGACCTCTCACCTTATGACATCATCATTCCCCATCATGGGTGAGGAGACTGAGGCAAAAAGGAGTTTAATCATTTTCCCATGACCTTACAGTAGACATTATGACTGTTGGGATGGAACTCCAAATGTCCTGATGAGGAAAGCAATAGTCCTCTCCAAACCTGGGTTCTGTGCCAGAGGCATCACCATGGGGTTAGCAGGGGGATCATAGAGTAAGGCTCTGGATGCTTCACAGAGAGAATCCACATGAGTCCAGGATCATGTGACCTCTGTGCTGAGGTCAGAGGAGGATGTGAAGGTGCTCAGATGATCAGAAAGAATGCTTTGGGCAGGGTGAAGAACGGTGGAGGGATTTCTAAGAATTGTGACAGGTTTAGAGAAAGGCAAACAGCCATTGGATGCCAGTGAGCCTGGCCCTGTGAGGGCCCTTTAACGACGGAGAATGACAAAGGGATCTGGATGGGTGAGCCACTGTTCCTGTCTTGGGACCCCGGTAACTCTGGGTGTCTGTAAGACAGAAGACTGCTCTGGGCAGATTTGGGATTGTACTATGGCAATTTCAGGGAACATCAGATGGCATCTGAGAGGAGAATGGTGATTCAGCTAAAGGATCAGCTGATTTAGTGCCTGGGTAGAAGATAAGAGGAAGCCAAGGTGAATTTGGGTTAGAGTTCCGGGTGTCCATAGAGAATCTTTAAGACTCAGGCAGAGTGCTGCATGGAGAGGGAAAGTCGTCTATTCAGAACGGGAATTAACTTGAATCTTCAGCTCCTAAGTGCACACATTGAGCAGGGGGGCATGTGGTTGCTGAGACTTACAGCCTTGAGGATCACATACAGGATGCTCTACCCAGTGAGCACTGAGCTACCACTGCATGAAGACTATGGAGTGGTAAGAAGGGACCCATGCATTGAAAGCAGCCATGTCCCAATTGCAATGTGTCCAACAGTCATTCAAGGTTCTGAAGTGGCCACCTCATGTACTCTATGAGCCCTGGCATGCCTCAGTTGCATCCCTCCATTTTTTCTGGCTTTAGACCAGGTATCTAAGGAGCCTGGTGCTGAGTACATCTCATTCTGCCAGTGAGCCATGTCCAGAAGTTGTGGGAGATGCCTGAGTCATCTCCTAAGGGAGTCTAGGACAAGGGACCAGGGTTTGACTCTTCCCCATTCTATGAGTTTTCCCTCAGGACTTGACCACCAAATGTTTCCCTGGTGATGAACCCACTGCAGGGACTGCTTCACTTCACTGTGCAATAGAGGCAGCAAACTGTGGAAGGAGAAGAGGCATGCTTACAGTAGTGATCTCAGATACCTGTACTCCAAACTAAGGGGAGAACAAAGTGTCTAATGGTATCCCAACCCACGTGAGGGTATTTAAGGAGCAGCCACCGTGATCTGTGTAATCTACAGGTCACAGTCAGCTCCAGAGCCTTCTGAGAGGATTCTCAGCTGCTGGCCAGCTGACTGCCTCTGTCAGTTTTTCCATGTTGTTGCTGAAGACAAGAGAGCAGGAAGTATGTAGGGGACTGTGTCACTTAGCCTTTTGTCATTGGGACAGCAAATTGGAGATAGCCCACTGTGGAAAGAAAATGTTACATTTCAATCAAAGTTCCATAGAATTCTGGCCAGAGTCTATTGGCTCCTTAGCTTTGGGCCTGAGACAAGTCAAGCTTTGTGCATCCAAAGGCACTAAGGGAAGAATGAGGGCTGGGGGTGTGGCCACACTCCTGGCTTGGCTCAGCATCAACTTGTGTCTGACCCTGGGATGCTGCACAATTGGCAATCAGTAATGGAGGCCATCTCATCAAGGGCTTCTGAGGATGCAAAAGGGTCTTATGTATGAAGGACAGAGCCACTCTGGTGGTCATCCTAGTCTCTGTTGGGAGAGAGAAAGATGGGCAGGAAGGGGAACTCCAGCCTATAGAAGAATTCCTAGTGAGACACCACTGTGTGTTGAAATTATTCATGTGAGATAGTTATTGACAGCAATGATATTAAGCTAATTAATAGTTTAAGTGCATTTACTAAGAGTCAGACCAAGATTGCCTCCAAAAATCTGTAGCTACCAAACTCAGGGCACAGCATGTTTAAAGACAACAACCACGAAAACTATAATTTACATCCTGTTTAGATGAAGTTCCAATAATTTGAAATGTTCTTCCTGGCAGATCATAGAAACTATTTCAATCATAACATGACAAAACATTTGAGTTATATCTTCTTCATTTATTGTGGTTTCCTTTACTCACTCTGGTTGATTATTCTGCATTATAGATGTGTCCATGGAGGCCTCAACCACATGTGAAGTCAGACATGACTGTTGTGGGGAAACAGGGAGGGTTGAGAACTATGTGAACAACCACAGGTGGAGTCAGAGCATATAGGACTCACCTCAGTCATTTCTGTGTGACTGTGGATATTGTCTTCTGACATGTCTGTCCTTACTCACTCCCTTGGTCCTAAGACTAAGAGAGACTGGTCTCTTCTCACTCATCTGCTGGTGCAGAACAAATTGTCCCCAAATGCACAACTTGAAACAATAAACATGGAATATCCCACAGTGTCAGGCACCCATGAGGAGCCAGGCTGTGTGGTTCTGCCTCAGGGCCTCTCATGAGTCACACTGTTGGCTGAAGACCTGACATGTGCTAGAGGTTCCCTCTCCAAGTTCAATCTCATGACCATTTTATTTTTCTTTTTCCTCTGGGGACATTTCACATTCAAACCATAATACTTCCCTACATAACAAGATTCTATTTTTTAAAACAATACTTAATCAAAAAGCCAGTGGGTAGGAGGAAATGGTGAATCTATGCTTTCATAAGTCAAGTCTGTGTTGCCCTATCTGTTTGATGCCCTCATTCTACCCATGAGGTACTAGTGAGAACTGACACTCTCACAGAAAAGTCACCTCTTCAGTGAAGAGTCTACATGGCTCATTTATGAAAACCTCGTGATCATGCAGAGTGCAACATTGTCATGTGGAAATAAATTATTTTGGGTTATGACTTTGTCTCCATAAATACCCTTTTATCATTGAACATATAAAGTGAGTGGGCCATTAATTTTCAGCTGCTGGGATTCAAAAGTTATAAGATGAATCTGTGCATAGGGAAAGAGAATTTGTGGCAGTGGCTTACACAATGTTGTCCAGTGATTCCAACCATGGCTGTCTACCAAACATAGGTCCAAAAACACGGTAGTTGGTCAGCCCATGATGCTAGATGTCTCACGTGGTCTTCAGTGTATACTGGGATCCTGAAGAAGTAGGCTCTGACAACAGTGAAGGACTGGACTTGCCAGTGAGCGTGAGAGCAAGCAGGCAGAGAGAGCAAGCTTCCTCTTCCATGTCCTTTCTATAGGCTGCCAGAGGAAAGTGTGGCCTCTATTAAATGTGGATCTTCCCACCTCAAAAGATCCAGAGTAAATGTGTCTCTCCCTGTTTAAAATCATTATTTAAGAAATTTTTCCTGCAACATTAAATACATTGGGGTAACACTAGCCAAACAAGTGGAAGACCTGTATCGCAAGAACTTTGAGTCTTTAAAGAAAGAAATTAAAGAAGCCCTCAGAAAATGGAAAGATCTCCCATGCTCTTGGATAGGTAGGATCAATATAGTAAAAATGGCAATCCTGCCAAAAGCAATCTACAGATTCAATGCAATCCCCATTAAAATCCCAGCACAATTCTTCACAGACCTTGAAAGAACAATAATCAATTTTGTATGGAAAAACAAAAGACCCAGGATAGCCAAAACAACCATGTTCAACAAGGCAATGTCTGGAGGCATCACCATCCCTGACTTGAAGCTCTATTATAGAGCTATAATCCTGAAAACAGCTTGGTATTGGCACAAAAATACACAGGTAGACCAATGGAATCGAATTGAAAACCCTGATATTAACCCACACACGTATGAATATCTGATCTTTGACAAAGAAGCTAAAAATATACAATGGAATAAAGAAAGCATCTTCAACAAATGGTGCTGGCATAACTGGAGGCTGGCATGTAGAAGACTGTGGATCGATCCATGTTTATCGCCATGCACAAAACTTAACATAATGGAACAAAGACCTCAATATAAATCCAGCCACACTGAACCTCTTAGAAGAGAAACTGGGTGGTACCCTTGAACGAATTGGTACAGGAGACAGCTTCCTGAACACAACACCAGTAGCACAGACA